GTTTCAAGTGGATAGACTTTATATTTTTAAAAGTTTTAAGGTTTTAAGAGTGTTTTTAAGGTTGTTCACCAGCTGACAAAACCATATTGGTTTTGTGGTGAGGAGCAGAAGGGTGATGGCATTCAAGGATGAGAGAATGCCCTGAAGTTCACACTGCTTCTCTTCCTCACCTGCGACCCTCTTACCTCTCCCTTCCAGCTCTACTCAGCCTTCCTGTAGATTTGCATACTCGACTCAGAGCAGAAGTGAGTAGTTCAGTCTCCTTTCTCTTTCCCATGTGCTGTTCTTCTAGTTTGGACATCCTGACATGTTTCTCCTCAGCTCTGCTTGAGAGGTCTGAAAAAGTTGTGGTTGTTCAGTAGACCACTGCCATTTGTTTTCAGATCCACTCATTCAAAGTCTAATAGCGCTTCTTTTCTCCCTGCAAATATTTTTTTGATTTGCTATGCAGACAGCTGACTTCCCAAACAGCACCACTTTGGAATGTGTGGTTTTCAGAAGTGCAGTTTGATAACTTGATGTAAACTGATCTAAGTTCGGATCCCTGTTGAAAAGAAGATCCTGTGATATGTTGACATGTTATTCTTTGACCCAGCACTTGTAATGGTGCTGCTTTAAATCGAGCTGACTCTGGAAGCTTATCTGGCTGAAAACAGTCCCAGCCAAAGTGACAGTGGGGAAGCAATTTTCAGTCTGTTTGTCAAACTGCATCTGAAATGGCAATTCAGGTTCCAGCTACAAAAACGTATTGCTTGGGTTGTCTACTTATCACCAGTTTTGCATCATTAAGTGTTATGCATTCTTGGCCTGATATAATTGCAGCAGATTGCACACATGAACTGTTATTTATTTTATTTTTAAAACAGAAATTACAGAACAGGAAAATAACATTCCAGCATGTTTGCTTTTGGAGCTAACCTACCACGGCAATCTGTTAGTCTGATAATGGTTAAGCTCACAAGCCCTTGCCTCAGCAGAGTGCAGTAGGGTACCATTAAGGCAGCCATCTGTTGAACATACATACTGGAGGCATGAATTGCCTTGCATTTTGGGTTTCTTAGTGGTTAAAATGTGGTCACATTCTCTGAATGCCACTGATCTGCACTGATAAATGCATGGAAAGATCAAAGATCAGTGAAAGGTGAGCATCCAAATCAGGGATGAGTGACTGGGAACCCATCAGATGAGCGCTGGGTATGGAGCAGGGAAGAGACGAAACCTTGTGGGCAAACACATGCTGATAGTAAACACAATTCTGGCAAGAGCCTGAGCTGCTTAAGTTGCTTAGCAATTCAATAGATCTGCAAAACTCCATTTGCAGACCAAGGCTGCCATTATGTTGGATTGATTCATCGGGATCAGCTGCTAAAACAAGTTATATTCTATCAGAGTTTTCCTGCATTAGTTTAAAAATGAATTTAGTTACCTCAAAGTAGACATTTGTTTTAGTATCTTGAAGAACTGACTTTCCTCTATTAAAGCAGAATAATGTATCTATATGGTGCCCTAACTTGAACAGTACATAAAGATTAGTAAATAAGACCCCATTAAAAATACTTATAATGTAAGTAACATGGGTCCCAATAGCTTTTCTAATGTCCATTAATGCTTATTCTGAGGATCAGAGCTCATTTTACTGAGCCATTTAGTCAAACCGTGTGATTATTTAGAAAGTTAATTCATGCATACTAAAATCTAGCTTAAGTAATGCAGAGGGTAGGAGGTAAAACTCTATGGAGACGATAGTCCTTTTTGTTATTTAATGATCAGCCATAATTAACTTGCAAATTTGAAATAATTAGAACAAATTAAAGGTATTTAACTTTGCCTCCCTAAAGAAAAATTCAAATTGCACCAAATGCAGCTTTAAATTATTCAAGTCTCAGAGGTCTGTGCTGGGGTTTTTTACAATGCCTTTTCTATGATGAGAATACCAATCTGCTTTTTGTCAGAAAGCATCCTATCAAGTAATTGTTCTTTGTGTCTAATAAATGACAGCTATTCTTCTTTGTAAAAGTATTTCAGTCTCTGAAGACTACATCAGCATTTCCATGGCATTTTAATTCAATAAAACAAAAGGTTAATGTTTTTCTACTTTTTAAAGAATGCAAATAGTAGCAGTATTCAATGGGTCCTGAATGACATTTAAAATTTGCCATTCATGCTCAGAAGGGATATCGCGATATGAGGCTCAGACAAAATGGAAAGAGCATTCAAGGTGTGTTTTCCTTTGTTAGTGGTGTACTTCGATATTCATAATGAGGCAGCAATGCTGAGACTTGCTTCTTTTCTGGTGACACTACTCTACAACTCTTGCCTTAGTATGTAGGTTAGGGAGGTTAATAAGGTCTTTATCTAGACAGTCTTCTCTGTTCTGTAGTTTCAGGGAATAGCATGAAAATTCGTTGGATATTGTGGTGCCCTGCAGGAAGTCCTACTAATCATGGTGTATTTTGAGTGATACGGTAGATTGTTGGATTTGAAAATAGAGAGAAAACTCTCTTGTAGCTTAATCTGTAACTATACATAACTGATGCCTTTGGACCACATGTTAAGTTTAAATTTCCAGGTTGCAATAGTCACATCACTTATTCTACTAATTATTCCACAGGTGAATGAGTAAGTATGTTCCGGAAAGGATTTTTTTCTCATGTTTTCTTTGTTTAATTGTGGTACATAGTTAATTATTGATTTATTTTTATAGCTCTACATTATCCCTATCCCTCGTTGGTCTGCACACCTTTCAGATTAAGTGTCATTTTAAGATTTGACACTTTATCCTTACTTGATCAAAACTTTAGCATGAGATGCCTTCAAGTAAATACCGAACAGTGAGGCTCTAATTGTTTATTTGGCTTATAAATGCAAGTACACTTGCTTTTGGTTTTTATCATAAATTAGCCTCTGTAACTTTTCCTTGGTGTCTGCTTCTGTTCAATTTGCCTCTACCATTGCATTATTTAAAACACAACTCAGTATTTTAGAGGTAACTGCACCATGTAGAAGGTATTACAGTGAACCAGTCAAGTAATCACCTCCTTATTTATGAGCCAAAGGTCACTGTCTTCACGTGAGGTCTGAAGGTTGTAATTAAATGTGCTTTAAAAACTCAGAAAGCATCCAAATAATGACAACCTCACTATTTTTAAATGCCAGTAATCATCCAAGTACAGGCAAATGGGATATCAGGTCCTGTGTTATCAGAGAAATCTGGTCAAGTACTGCACCTTTAAGCCTCTTCAAGCAGTTGCTGAAATCCAAACCCACCTCTTGCTGTACTTGGGGTTGCAGGAATTAGTAGGATAATAATTTCATATAATTCAAATAAGATACTAATTTAGTCTGCCATAAATTTTAATAACACTTTGCAGTATTATTAGTGGTCACACGGTTTGTAGCCCTAAACTAAACGAAGGTTATTCAGAGAAGTTATATCCAACACTTCAGCCAGTTATTATAGGTCATAAGCTATTATATACTGTTCTGCATTAATAATACAGGAGTAATCCTAATTGTCCAGCAGGCTCAGTGGGCCCTATTAAACAATGTCTCATATAGCACATTGATTTGAAACTTTTAATTTAGCTATCATTTTCTGCTTTTCCCTCAGATCTACAGTTACTTCAGTAGTGTAAGCTTTTAGGTAAAAGATTCTTGTGACTCAGCCTCCACAAAGCTGTACCTGAAGTAATACAATGACAGTCATAAAAAATTGGTGCTTAAACAGAAAAGGATTTATCATAGAAACATTGAATCATTTAAATTGGAAAAGACCTCTAAGATCATCGAGTCCAACCATTAAGATCTGTTTAATCTTCTAATAAGTTAGGAAAGCCATATGTCACTTCTGTGATTGCAAATAGATCGATATAATCTTGTGATGAATTGTATTATTTCATGTGGATAATCCAAACATGCTTTGTTTTTAATTTCATTTAATTAGGGTGCTTTTTATGATGGGGGCTAATGATGTACACATGTTGGGAATCCTCATTTAAAGCAGTAGTTGTTTACCAGAGAGCAGAATTTAAAAGCAATAGATTGTCTTTACTGAGAGAAAGATGGGTCTCCATAGCCTCCTGTCTAGCCAGAACATTTTGAGATTGCCTTTGTCTGGGGAGACTGAAATCGTGCTTGCTCCCCGTTACCAAATTTGCCTCTTAGTTCTATCCATGCAGTATTTACGATCTTGTGCTGAAGTTCATCTTGAACCATAATGATTCTGGTTAACTTTCACTTTTCTTACTGTATTCAAGCTGCTGTACTTGGTGCACCAGATGCTTTCCCACCAGTTTGTCATACATGCTCTATCCTCCTTAATAGTACCTCTGTTTATTCATCTCACCTCTTTTTGTCTTATCTCTTCTCATCCCTTCTCTTCTTGAATCAACTTGTCACCATCTCTGGAGGTTTTAAAAAAACATAGCTACAACTTAGAGCCATGGTTTGGTGGTGGCCTTGGCAGTGCTGGGTTTACAGGTGGATTCTATGATCTCAAAGATCCTTTCCAACATAAAAGATTGGGATTCTGTAATCTACTTCCCTTTTGTAAACTAGAATTTCAGGTTTCTCTTCACATAATGTTCTATTTCCCCTTTATTCTAGCAAAATGAGCATATTTTTAAACTACTCTTTCTTCCAACCTTGGTGCATTATACTGGACAAAGTACTTTGCATATCTTCATCCCGCTAGTCCTGTCCTAACTTTTTGAGAAATCTGGGACCTAATGCTTTAGGGAATGTGGCCAATGCCACAAAAGTCCAAATACAATTATCAAAGTGCTGCTGGCTGCTGATAAACAAAACATCCTGATAAAGTGGGCTGGTAACTCTTCAAGCCTTAGGTGTCCTGCTGTCAGAAGTTATAAAGGGATTCAACAAGAACTCGACCAGCAGCATGCTGTTTATGCTTCTGGAGAGTGAAAGTAAGGGAGAGGGCTGGGTGTAGTGTTAATGGGCTGAATACATCATGTAATAGCATGGTCTTTCTTTCCTTCCAGTGTCCCGGCGTTGAAACATGAAGATTATTTTCTGAGGACACTTCCAGTAGGCAAAAACTCCAGAACACCAGGGAGCAGTCGTGGGAGCAGTTCAGGGAAGAAGATGGTTGGTTTTGGTGCAAATGTGGAAGATGAGCAAATCCTTCCAATGCAAACCAAAAGAGAAGGCACCAAGTCCAGGAAAGGTAAGGGCAAACATACTGTATTGCAGAGCCATGAGTGTGCTGGTGGTATTTAGAAGTTTTAAATATGTGTGTATAAAAGCATACCAGTAAAATGCAGAATTAAAGGGAGAGGATTGGAAGTTGTTTAAAATAACCTAAGAGAAGGTAGCTACACTTAAAATAATAAAATATATTTCAAATAATAAGTGGTGATCTTGGCTGGTGTTCTGATGAAAAGGAAAAAAATAGGCCTTTGTCGTGGTTTTGGGAGCAGTATTCCCTGATTTAGTGTTTCAACTCCAAACTCCCTTCCCCTACAGCAGGATGGAGGGAATTGGAGGCACAAAAAAGTAAAGATTATGGGTAGAGATAAGAACAATTTACTAAGAAAAAGCAATGAAGTAACAACTGTATTAATAACAGAGTGTACAAGACAGGTGAACGAGACATAGGTGATCACCCACCACAAGGACAGGAGGAACCCAGCGCTGCCTGTTCGCACACACCACGCCCAACCGAACCGGCCCTGGAACCAAGGGTACCCTCTATCCCCTCTGTCCCCTCTGCATGATGTGAGGGAGTATAGAGTAACCCCAGGGTTCTAGTGTGCCTTTCCTGGCTGCTGCAAAAGTTAACCCTGGCCAGCACCAGGACTTTATCCACTCCTTATTGTATTCCATCTATATTGTGTCCAGGTTCTACACCTTCCCAAAGCATATATGTATACACACACACACACACACACACACACACACATATATATATATATACATATACACACACAAGCATGGATATCATTCCCTTAGTCAATAGCTGTCCCTCCAGGATGTCTATTGAGTTCATTTAGGACATGTCGCTGGGTTCCAGCTGTCCTAAATGTCTTTCAGGGCAGGGAGGCTGGTGTGCTGTCTGGTCGTCCCAGGCTGCATCAAGAGCTCATGACAGGTGTATCTGGAGCAGTCCATGGGAGTTGTAGCATACAGTGACAGTATCATTCAGCAACCACTATTATACAATTTGACATTACTTACCTCACCCAAAGATCAAATCCCCTTGAGGTATACACTGTGCTTTCCCATCCTTCTGCATTATCAACCAAATGTATGAAGGTCCTTGAGCAAAAGCAATCCCAAGGATGGGTTTGCCTTTGCTTCAGGCAGGACTGATCCAGACTGTCTTCCCTAGTGTATTCCTCAGATGCACCACAGAGACTATATCCCCTTCTGTGGTACCTGGAGGTTTTGATTGGGCAGGGCCAGCAAAATTGGTAGAACTTTAAGTGTTAACCAGATGGCCTTTGGTAAATGTAGATCCCAATGTTTGAAGTTTCCACAATGTGGTTTCTAACAATCCATTGTACTGCTCAATTTTCCCAGAGGCTGGTGCATGGTGGGGAATATGATACACCCACTCAGTAGCATGCTCTTTGGCTCAGGTGTCTATGAGGCTATTTTGGAGATGAGTGCTGTTGTCTGATCCAGTTCCTTCTGAGGTTCCATGTTGCCACAGAACTTGCTTTTCAAAGCCCAAGGTGGTGTTCAGGGCAGTGGCATGAGGCACTGTGTACATTTCCAGCCACCCAGTAGTAGCTTCTACCATGATAAACATGTAGTGCTTGCCTTGGAGGTTTTGCAGGAGTGTGATGTAATCAGTCTGTCAGGCCTCCCCTAATTTGTATTTCAGCCACCATCCACCGTATCACAGAGGCTTTACCCACTTGTCCTGTTTGATTGCAGCGCATGTCTCACCATTATGCATAACCTGGGAGATAGCATCCATGGTTAAGTCCAGCCCTTGATCACAAGCCCATCAATATGTTCCATCTCTTCCCTGATGGCCTGAGGTGTCATGGACCCACTGAGACAGAAATAGTTCACCCCTTATGCTGCCAGTCCAGATCCACCTGAGACACTACTATTGGCAGTCTGATCCACCTGTTCATTGTTGTGATGTTCTTCAGTAGCCTGACTCTTGGGTACGTGTGCATCTGCACGATGTACTTTTACACCCAGCTTCTCTACCTGGGCAGTGACATCCTGCCACAATTCAGCTGCACTTGATGTTATCATCTCAAATGCTGATATCACACAGTACAACAACAAAACAATCCTTATTCCCCTCCCCTCTCTAAAATAAAACATTGCAAGGAGCACATAGTTCAAGTACAGAAGTACATACAGAATGAGGTGCCACAAGCACGTGAACCAACAAAACAACATTGTGACCAGTGGCTCTGGACCTAATACAGCAAATGCTTATAGCAAATTCGTTCCCAGCCCTTTCTGGTCAGATCTGTTGTTATCTCAACCCTTCAAGCCCCATGTTGGATGCCAAATAAGGCTGTTGTGGTTTACGAATGATCAGGACACCCTTTAATCTCCAAAAGCTTTTTCAGCAATTTATGTTTTCCTTTCCCAACAAGCAGTGAGAATAAGTGCAGTAGGGTTTGCTCTTTAAATGTAATCTTTGCATCCTTTTCCTCCTCAAGTGACGACTTCACCATCACAACCTGCTATTTTGCCACATGGGGATGTCTGTACTCCTAGAACCTATCCTGTCCTTAGTTTAGTATCTCCACTAAAGGAGCAGAGAAGCAGACTTTCTTAGGAAGAGAAAAGGTTGGGAATAAAAGCAGTTTGGATGTTTCACTGCTGAGCCTTGAACATAATCCTTGGTTCAATTATGAAGTAGGGTTTTTTTTATTTTAACTTGTCAGCCAGTTTGCTGTATATGTCAGCATAAAAATAAAGAAAATGGCAAAATGAGAAGAAATGTGGTGCAGTTCTCAAAGGAACAAATAACTTGTGTTATTGGTTAAGACCGTAGCAACATTAAAAAGCAGTCCCTGTGAAGAAACTTTCAAAAGGGTATCATCAGCCTGGACCCAAACAGTGGCTGAGGTTAATCTCTTCTAAGGCACAGCTACAAAAGTTGGAAGCCTGTAAAGGGCTTGTGTCCAAAAAAATCAATTTCTAATTTGAAACAAAATCATTTTTGACTAACAGAGGTTCAGGACCCATTACTTTTGCTGTATAGTCTGCTGACATTTCACACTTTCTGTTGTGCACAATGAATCCTAATAGTCATTTTATAACATTGCTACACCAATCAATTTAAGCAAGAGAAAGCCGTTACAATTCTGCAAAGTTTCAGGGGCAATTTTCACTGATGGTTTTCTTTTATGTTTTTTTCAGCTATCATTTTTTTTTTCTTCTCTCTTCCTCTTTCTTTCCTCCCCCCCCTTCTCAGTACTGTAGTGATGAAATTGAGATTTTTCACAGCTGGATGATGGGTTTTGTTCCTTGGACGGGAATAGTTCCCCCAAAAGTAATTTATTTTCCATAGATTCAGGGTAAAAAATCCAGCCTGGCCTCTTCTCAATTCATTCAGTAGCACTTAGGAGAAGTTACAAGCTGCATCAGGATATTGCATATAGCAACTGAGCTGCACCTATTCTGATTTAGTGATTGTAGTGGTCAGCATGATTTCTGAAGATGGTGGGTATCTTTCACAAACACTTACTGGGATTGCTCTCTTTGAAGATGTAGTGCTGCATGGCAAAATTTGACTTATAAGCATTGGCACTCACTGTGATACCGGATAAAGTTCTGAGGAATGCTTTCAAGCTGTGGAACAACCTCAGATCTATTACTGATTTGAATAGTTGTTTATCACAAGGCTAATTACCTAGCACTAATCACTGAAGCTGAAGTCTTCTGTATTTAGTACCTTTTTAATTGGCTTCCTTCTGTTATATATTTGGACTCCTTTAACAAGCATACACACATACTTGTAAAGTGTTTTTTCCATCTTTGGGGATGACCAAGACACAATGTCAAGGTTTGTAATTCTAGGTAGCCTGGACTTAGCCAGCTTGTTTTGCTGACTATTCCCATCTGCTGATTACCTGGGATTTCTGCTTCAGTACAGTGCGGGACAGGGAAAAAAAGTCAAGAAGATGATGTCTTGAGCCATGAAACTTGATATTACTTAGCCACATACCTTACGGTGGCCTTTTAGTCAGGACACTGCAGTGCTGGATACTGTATAGAGAGACACAATCAACTGGAAATGTCTTGACAGGTAGATGCTGACCTATTGCTACAGGGGTTTGTTTTTCCCATGCCTTGATTATTCTGGTCTATTTAAATTATGTGTTCTTCAGAGTGGTGACTCTATCCAAGCACATCTTAGTGCAGTGCCAATGCTGATATGGGCCTTTGGGTTCACTGTATTATCTTGCTGTACCACTGGGAATAGTGGCTTTATCAGGGGAATGATGTTCTTCATGGTAGTGTTCCTCCAGAGCAACATACCCACTTGCATCAGCTTTAAAATTATTAATGAGGAAATTGTTCCCATTCTGGAATGGTGGAAGGCTTTACTGCCCACAAGATTGCTCACTTGCTGTGAGTACAGTGAGTTTGGAAAAAGTGATTTCCTAACAAACCCACTTTTCCTTTCCTCCCGAAGATGTTTAGTAATGGGGAGAAGAGCATTGTTAACCTGGTCCCATCACCTTGTGAAGTGGAAGGGATCACTTTGCTCTCTTTTCAGGGCAGAAACTTACTTACAACTTAAGCAATCAGTTTTTATTCTCTCACTGTTGCTTTTTGTCTCCTATTTCTGTTTGCTCCTTAATTTTTATTCCTGTGCTTTAGCAGGTGTATGTGTCTTGTAGTCAAACTTTTTTAGTTTTTCCAGCAAAACTTTAAGCAGTTGAAGCAGTCGTGAAGTCTTAGATCTTTTCAGTAGTAAATTGTTTTTATTGGTGTCACCACAAGCTATGTCATCGTGTGCTAAAATCTTACAACTTGTCTAGTTAAAAAGCACTGGAGTACAGAAATGCATGTTTCTCTTCCTTTCTGCTCTGGAAAATTTTTGCTTTGGGGCTGGAAAGCTAAAAACTAGATTCTGTTCATTGCACTATGAAATATTGGGCACTTCTCTACATTTCTGTTTCAAGTATTCCTCTTTACCCCTTCCTGAAATATCTCTGCATTGAAACAAAAGAAAGAACTGTTTTTTCCTTTGCATCTCTTTTTTGGGTATAACATCTGCATGACATTGTATACTGTGCATACCTTTCCTTTCCTTATGTAAAAGAAAAAGCCAGAGAGCGAAAGTTATTTTAGCTCATTTTAGCCCTGTATTTTTCCAGGGGCTGATTTTTCTGTATAGTGTTTGTTTTTCAGTAGTTTTTCTAATGTAGCTTCTTAGGGATTCAGGATCTGGAACTTCTTGCCTTGAGGGAAGACTTCCCTACAATGGAATAGAGCAATTAGTTAATATTAGTGAAGTGCTTTGAAGATGTGAAGTACTATATAAATGTTAAGTCTTATGAATATTACTATTATTCAAGTCATAAAGATTTCTTTTATGATTATCAACCTACATTTCTCTTTGCTTACTTTCATCCCTTGCTGCTTAAACCAGCCTCAACCATATCTTTTCATTCTTAGTGTTTACACTTTGAAAATATAGACTGCTGTATTTCCCCACTTTCTTAATGTTTTAGTTCTCTGCTTCTCAAGGAGAAATATACAGCTATTTGAGTTTTCTCAAATGATTTTTTAGTCTACTCTAAATCATTCTTATACCAAGTTAGCCAAATTGAAAATAGTATTCTTAACATCACCATTTAGAAGACATTCATAATTGCTATGGGACTAGCTTGCCTTGCTAGTTTGTTTTTTTTGGAATGCTTTGCTACACCAGGTTCTTTCCATTGGGTCAGAATTTAGATTATTACACCATGTAAGAGCTTTTTCTTTTTTTTTTCCAAGGCTGAATGTGTCTATTCTTTTTCTTTGTTTCTTGCTTCTCTAGATCATCTGCAATGTTTCCAGTCTCATACTGTCTTCCAACACCTGCGAATCTAATTAATTTGCTGTCATTTGTATCACACCAGTTCTCTATAACTTTTCATAAATAATTACCAGTCACTTCATAAATTCATTAACTAATTCCCTTTAGCCCTGAAATATATATCCTTCAGACTAAAGACTTTGTATCTTTTCCCCCCTTGATAATTTCTTTTCATCAGCTTTATATAGGCAGGTATTATACATCAACAGGGTCTTCATTATCTTCTACTTGCCAATTGTCCTTTCCTTTATTTTTTTCTCATAGTATGTCTTGAAATTATTACTAGCTTGGACATTTTGGGGATCGTTATTGATTTAATCCTCTTCATATATTCACTTGTTCTTTGGTGTTTCTTTTCTCTGAATTGACTTGCATGCCTTTTTCAGATACATTTTTAAACATTTTTTTTGTTTAGATATGCAGGATTTCTTGCTACCCCTGCTTTTATGTCTGTGCAGCCTAACAGCCTCAGTATATTACTACTTAGTTCCTTTTCTTGTTTTCTGTTTGTAGTGCTGGTAATACTTTCAAACTTGGGTCTTTGAACAGTCCCTTTGAGGCTGTGTTGACCACTTCTGAGTCCATATATTTTCTTTTTTGCAGAAATTCATCTAATTTGCTATGAATGTAGTATGTTGACAGTGTGCCAGCCTTTTCTAGTATTAGGAATTGGATATATTCTTTCATGTTCACCAGTTTATTATTGCTTTGGTATTAGTTTCTTAAAATCCAACTGCTTCATTCCACTGTCACATGAAATGATTTCTAAATATCTCTTATTCAATCATAGAGCCAAAAGTCTAAGCAAGAGCCTTCCAGTCTTTATATGCATACCCACTCTTCTCGTCATGGATTGGCACATTATCAAGTTACCAGGGACACATAATCAGCATATATCCCCATGGTATTTCCAACCGTTCCTTCACTGATAATTAACTCTTTGTTAGGCGAGATTTTTTCACTGCATGGTACTGAAGCACAATGTATTATAGCTGGGTGATAAGAACTCACTTTTTTGTTAGCTTCCATAAAATGCACCTTAAAACATGTAGTTTTACTAGATTCTATATATTTTTATAAATTTTAAATCAATGCAGTATTTTAAATAATCTTAATCCCTTGGACATCTATAAATTTTGCACTGAAGCTGAAATTACAACAACCTTGTGTTGCTTCACGTTTCAGCATGCATGGTAGATATTGTTGCTGTTCACAGAGCTGAGAAATATTTAATCATGACAATTACATAAAGAACTAAACACTAGCTTAACTTTTGCTGATACTTCTGGTTTTCCCTATACTAGCTGTTTAATTCAGTATTGCTGGTTGGACAGAACTAATTAGGCTGCATTGAAAAAGCCCATACCTGCAGGCTTTTGTGTAGTAGATCAGATGATTCCTAATTTTCCTGTTGACCTTGTTTCTGACTTACCTGTATGCCATTTGTCTAGCTAAATCCTATCTATGAAACTCAGTTCTCAAGAGAGCAAGTTAAAAATTGGCTGGGCCACCAGTCTCAAAAGCTTGTCTTCAGTCCAGCTGGCAGCCAGTTGATAGTGGTTAGCTGCTCAACATTAACAACATGGACAGGATGCACCTTCAGCAAGTTTGCAAGCTACACCAACTGGGGAAGCTGTCGATATGCTGGAGGGTAGGACACAGTATTCAGGGGACCTTAACAGGTTGTGAAAATGTTTTGACATAACCCCCAACAACAAAGGGTTCAACAAAGGGAAATGCCAGTTCCTTCAACTGAGTTGAACTGATCTCGTGTAACAGGGCAACCTAGAAAGTGGTTTTGCCAGAAAAGAATGAGGCATC